AGGAATAGAAGGGACATTCCTCAACATAATAAAGGGCATTTATGCAAAACCAACAGCCAACATTATTCTCAATGGAGAGAAAGTGAAACCATTCCTCTTGCGAACAGGAACCAGACAAGGATGCCCTCCATCACCACTTCTATTCAATACTGTATTGGAAGTCCTAGCCAGAGCCATAAGGCAAGAAAGGGAAATCAAAGGCATCCATATTGGTAAGGAAGAAGTCAAACTATCCCTATTTGCTGATGATATGATCCTGCGGTGTAGTAAATTACTTAGTGTGGCTTTTCTACCCATAAGTCTTTATAAACTCCAAGGTGGAGTTTGCCAAGAGCAACTGAGGAGCTCCTGATTGCTAAAGTTGTCCACCTGGGGTATTTCTGTTAGGCGTGGCACTAAACAATGTTCTGGGAGGTTCCCACTCTCTCTCAGGTATTTAGAATTCTGATGTTATGATTGGTTGGTTTGTCCACTCTGCTGGGCTCAAAAGGAGACCTCCTAGAGGCAGAAGTCTCTCTCTCTCTCTCTCTTTCTCTCTCTGACTGCTGGCTGAGGAAGGCGTGCTGCTGAAAGAGACACGCGCTGCTGGGAAAGAGACTCAAGAGACATGCATTGCTGAGTGAGACACCAAGGGACAAGCACTGTTGGGAGAGAGACTGTGGGCTGGGAGAGAGACTAGGCGTGTCCCCTGAATTTGAATTGTAGCCTGGTGCTTCCCTAATAAACCCCATAATCTGTGAGTTCTGTGTGGCCACTGCAGCGAATTATCGAACCCGGGAGAGAGTGGTAGGTGCTTTGGGAGGAACAGTTGGTGAAAGGGCTGGAGGAAGGTGGCATTCCTGGCCTTACAGGAATAGGTCTTGGGCTACTGATAGTGTTTCTGTCTTCCTTTTGTGGGGTTAGAGGAGGTCAGAAAATGTGGCCTCCCTGCCCTTTTTGCAGATCCTATACCTAGAAAACTCAAGAGACTCAGTCAACAATCTACTGGAACTAATCGAGAGATTTAGCATCGTGGCAGAATACAAGATCAACATCTAAAAATCAGTTGGATTCCTCTACACCAGCAAAGAGATTCCTGAAAAAGAAAGAAGGAAATCATTACCATTTATAATAGCCACCAACAAAATAAAATACTTGGGAATAAATTTTACCAGGGATACAAAAGACCTATACAAAGAAAACTACCACAGACTACTTCAAGAAACCATAAGAGATCTCATAAATAGAAGAATATATACCATGCTCATGGATAGGAAGATTGAACATTGTGAAAATGTCAATTCTACCCAAAGCAATCTATACATTCAATGCAATCCTAATCCAGATCCCACCAACATTCTTTAGGGATATGGAAAAACCAATCACTAACTTTATATGGAAAGCAAAGAGAACTCGGATAAGCAAAGCACTATTGAAGAAGAACAACAAAGTAGGAGGTCTCACACTGCTGGATCTCAAAA